GCGCGATTGGAGTTGCAGCTAGTAAGGGATGTGAAGGTAACAAGAAGGGTTTCTATAAGTATGTCAGCAACAAGAGGAAGATCAGGGAAAGTGTGGGTCCCTTACTGAATGCGGGAGGCAAACTAGTAACAGATGATGCAGAAATGGCTAAAGTACTCAATGCCTTTTTCACCTCAGTTTCATAGGCAAGGATAGCTCCCAGACTACTGCACCTGGCAGCACAATTTGGGGAGGAGGTGATCTGCCAACAGTGGTGAACGAACAGGTTAGGAACTATTTAAAAAATATGTCTATGGGGCAGGATGTGATGCACCATAGGGTGCTGAGGGAGTTGGCCAATGTGATTGCACAGCCACTGGCCATTATCTTTGAAAACTCAAGGTGATTGGGAGAGGTCTCAGATGCCTGGAAAAGGGTAAATATAGTGCCCATTTTCAAGAAAGGGAAGGAGGAGGATCCAGGAAACTACAGACTGGTCAGCCTTACCTCAGTCCATGGAAAAATCATGGAGCAGATCCTCAAGTAATCCATTTCTAAGCGCTGGGAGGAGGAGAAGATGAGTAGAAACAGTCGGCATCGATTCATCAAGGGCAAGTCATGTCTGACCAACCTGATTGCCTTCTGTGATGGAATGACTGGCTCTGCATGTGGGGAGAGCAGTGGATGTGATACACCTTGATTTGGCAGAGATTTTGATACAGCCTCCCACAATATTCTTGCAAGCAAGCTAAGAAAGTACAGGTTGGATGAATGGATGTTAAGGTGGATAGAAAACTGACTGGATGGTCACACTCCAATGATGGCAATCAATGACTTGAAGTTCAATTGGCAGTTGGTATCTACAAGTGGAATGCCCCAGAGGTTAGTTCTGGGGCCAGTTTTTGTTCAATATTTTCATCAACGACCTGGAAGATGAAATGGAGTGCAACTTTGCAGATGACACCAAGCTGGGGGGAACAGAACATATGCTGGAAGGTAGGGTTAGGATTCAGAGAGACTGCAACAACTTGGAGGATTGGACCAAAAGAAATGTCATGAGCTCTCGGGGGGGAGAAGGCATTTCATCTATCTCCCCACCCGTCACCTAAGTGGGGAATGCTGGCTCTCAGGAGGTGCACCAGTGCTCTCAGGGAGTGCACATGGACCCTCATGCACACCCTATGGGTTGCCATTGCTGCCAGAGCTAGTGCCCACCTGTGGGCTTGATACATTCACTTGGTGGGCGCCCCCCTGTGGCTGGATCCAATCACTTGGCAGGCTGGATCTGATCCCCAAGAGGTATTTTGCCCACCCCTGGGTTAGGAAAAACTTTTTGACTAGGAGAGTAGTAAAGCACTGGAACAGCATACTCAGAAAGGTTGCAGAATTTCTATCCTGGGAGGTTTTTAAGACCAAGCTAGACAAAGTCTTGGCTGGAATGAGGTAGGTGGGGACGATCGTGCTTTGAGCAGAAAGTTGGACTAGATGACGAAGAAATCCAACATTGCCTCAAATGTGCAAGTGCAGTCTTTGGATGCCTGAGGAAATGGATGTTCAAAGGTCACAACATCAGATCCAAAACCAAGCTCGTGTTTTATCAAGCAGTTGTGATCCCCACATTACTGTATGGAGCTGAAATATGGACAACATACAGGAGGCTCCTCAAATCATTGGAGAAGTAGCATCAACACTGCCTATGGAAGGTCCTTCAAATGCAGTGGGGAGATAAATGGACCAACATTAGCATCCCCTCACAAGCACCCTGAGGATTAAGGCTCTAATCATCCAGCATCAACTTTGCTGAGCTGGCCATGTCATCCAGATGTCTAACTCTAGACTCCTGAAGCAAGTTTAATTCTCCTAGCTTAGTCGAGGCACATGCTCAAGAGGAGGGCAGAGAAACACTTCAGGGAAGTCTTCAAGACCAACCGGACATAATACAATATTGACATCAACTTGTGGGGGACTATCACCCGGGACTGTCCTAAATGGATGAAGAGTCTGTTGCAAGGATCTCAGTACTTTGAAACCTTATCACAAGAGGAGATGGAAAAATGGGAGCAGCAGAAAAAGCCAGTCACAGACTGAATCTAGTTTCTGGAGCCACCCACCCCACACAGAAATACATGCCTGAGATGCAGCAGAGTCTATCCCAGTTTATCCAAGACTGGTCTCAGCAGCTATCTTTGGACCAACAGATAAGACAAGCATGGAAGACAATCATTTTCAACTGTGAGGAACTGCCAAAGAAAGAGGACTAGATGACCTCCTGAGGTCCTTTCCAACCTTAATTTTCTATGATACTCCCCAACTCCCTTTTCCATATTAAAAAGAATAAAAAGTAACCAGCATAGGTTTAGGCAGTTATATATCATGATGCAAGATTCTAAATTTCCTGTAAGATGGAAATCAATGCTTCTTCTAATGTACTTCTTTTTAGTCTTTGTCAGGCTTTTATGTAAGTACATTGACCCCATGCCTTCACCAACCTGGAAAGGGTCAATGAATAGCCTACTTACTTTCATAACAGTAATTAAAAACAGCAAATTAAAAATTTCTGCGATCAACGTTTGCAGAGGCTGCTTCTTTTATCTCAAGTGGGAAACTGGAACATGTCTTGATGGAAAGCATTAGAAGTTCCCATTGAGAGAAGTTATGAATGGAACAATATGAGAAAGAAAGGTTGGGAAAGCAGGAAAGACACAGGAATAAAGGATCCCTTGATATTCATCACAGGATCCATGGCTGAAATCCAGAGGAGAAATTATAGAAAAATAGGACTTAAAAGAGGTGTTATTTAACCACTCTTCCTTTAGGCAAGAGCACTTCTGTTTACTCTAAAACAAACTAAATATGTGTCTAACCTGCACTTAAATTTTCCAATGATGGAAATTCCACAGCCTTTCTAACCTTCCCTAGCCCTAACCACCCCCATGGCTGGGAAGTTTTTCATAATGCCTCAACTAAATGGCTCCAATTGCAATTTAAAAATATTGTCCTGTCTCCTGTGAACACCACCCTTTTTCTTCAAATACAAAAAAAGTTGTTATAGATGTCTGAAAACCCAGTCTTTTTTTCTAGACTAAAAATTCTTCCAACCGTTCCTCCTATGGCATGCGTTTTAGGCCTCTAGTCATTTCAGTTAAGTTCCTCTAGACCCTTCCAATTGTCCTTCCAAATGGAAATTGTCCATGTCTTGTGCCCCATTCTGGACACACTACTCCAGAGGAGGCATCACCAGCACTGAATAGAGTAGAAGAATCATTATCTAGGACTTGCAGATGATGTTGTTATTCAGAGTATTACATTGCTTGTTCATATTCAGCATAAGATCCAGGTCCTTTTCTTCAGCCTAGATAGTTGTTCCCCAGTATGCGTTCATCTATTTGACTGTCGCTTCCTAAGTGCAAGTGTTCTGCATTTTTGTTTAATAAATGTCATGGGACTTATTTCAGATCCTTGCTCCAATATTCAAGGCACTTTGGATCTTTAATCCTACCCTCCAGCCTGTTCACTGCCCCATCTACTGTGATATCATCTGCACTGAGCATATGCTCAGCTCCATCCTCTGGATCATTAATGAAGATACTGGACCATCCTGGGCTCAGAGCCCTGGGGAACTCTGCTTGGTACAGGTTTCCTTTGCTTTATGCAGGTTCTGTATGTGCGAATTTGCTCTTATCCGATGATCCTTTGTACCAAAAATTCATTATATGCAAAGTAAATTCACTCTTACGTGATTGTCTGCAACACGTGTTTCTAAGGTTGCCATCCACATTATGGCTTCTAAGCATCCCACTAGCTTATCTCCTACCCTTCTCCCTGGTCCATCAATGAAGCCTTCACCACCCTCTCTTTACACCAGCTAAACTCTCACCACCACCCTGTGCTTGTGTGCACTGTCTGCTGTTGGTGAGTACCAAAATTACCTTGTAAGAGTGGTAGAAATGGGCCTAGGGATCAGTACAGTTGAGGTCTTGGACCGTATCCCTATTTGTTATGGGGACTTTTTACCATTGTGTACCATCTATACATTTCCCAGAGCCTAATGACGGGACTTTGATCCTGAAAGCTTGCAGAAAATGACAATTTCTTGTGATTTTGCAGTGGGTCTAATAAAAGGCATCATTTTGGAATCAAGCGTTCTAGTTTTTTGTACGCATCCCTATTTGTTACATCGTAAAGTGGGTTCCCTTTATCCCAATTTGAGTTACGTGCATTTTCCAGGAACGCACGTACCACATAAAGCCAGGGAAACCTGTATCTCCTCGGCGTTTGACACTGAGCCTTGGCGACTGCTCTTGGGGCACGCGGACCCAGCCAGCTCGCGCCCGCTCCGCGAAGGCAGAGGCTTGCCAGAGTTCAACCAGGACTTGTCTGCAAGGCTGTCAGCAGAACCGGAGGGAGATCCTGCAGATGCGCCAGGCGCGAGACCCGGCATCTCCTGCGGCGGGGCCAGCGAGTAGCCGACAAAACACAAGGAGGCGCCGACCAGGGCGGACGCCCCGGCCGAGCAAGGACGGACCGGGGGGATCTGCCGCTCGCGAGATTTGCAAAGGGCCTGGCAGGGCAGGGCCACTGCCCGCGGCGCGCCCCGCCTCGCTGTCGGGATTGGCTGGATAGCAGCTCCATCACCGGCACAGCAGCCAACCAGAGGAAGCTGGAGGCGGGATCCGCCCCTCCCATACTATATAAAGGCCGCAGGGGGGTCTGCCTCGGCCCGGCCGCGCCCATGTCCGTGTGGACGGCGAGCGTGGTCCTAGATCGTCGTGGGGCCCCACCGGCCCCGGGGTGGAGGTAAGGGCTGTGGGGAGCCGGTGGCCGAGCCCAGGGCAAGTCCGGGCTTGTCCGCGGGCGGGGCGGGTGCTGCGGCGGCGGCGGGGCAGTCCCGCTGACGGGCGCGTCCCCGCAGATGATCGAGCC